CCGGCCGGGGCCGCCCCAGGTGGGGGCCCCGGCCACGGCCGAGTTCGCCTTGGGCCCTCTGAAGGCGGCCTCTGGAGAACGCGGGGGCTCGCATCGCATGTGTCAGAGGGCGCTGCCCTGCAGCACGCACCGGCCTGCGCTCCGCCCTGCCCGGGCCTCACAGGCCACCCTGCCTCCCTCGCTGTCCAGAGCCTGAGGCTTTCAGACAAGGTGGACCCTGCGTCTGGACCACCCGTCCTCAGTCCACCCATCCTGGAGGGAAGGAGACTTTCCCCGGTCCCTTGGCCCAGCCAGCCCCCTCCTTTGGGTTCCCACAGGGTCTGAGCAGCCCTCCTTAAAGCACACCTCTCTGGAAAGGGCACTGCGGTTCTGTGACTCAGAGAGCAGGGGTTGAAAAGGCAAGAAATTCAGCCTGGGCAACACAGTGAGACCCCATCTCGACTTAAAACAAAAATAAAAAAAGCAGCCAGGTGTGTTGGCGCATGCCTGTAGCCCCAGCTACTTGGGAGGCTGCGATGGGAGGACTGCCTGAGCCCAGCAGGTTGAGGCTGTGGTGAGCCATGATCGTGCCACTGCACTCCAGTCAGGGTGACAGAGTGAGACCACCGATGCAAAAAAAAAAAAAAAAAAAGGCAAGAAAGAAAGAAAGGGCAAGAAATGGTGTTCAAGCTCCTCTCTGTGCCTGGAAATCCATCCACAAAGCTTCTGTATTTCCAATAAGACTCTGCTCTGAAGGCCAGGTGCAGTGAGTCACACCTGTAATCTAAGCACTCTGGGAGGCTGAGGCAGGAGGACTGCTTGAGCCTAGGAGTTTGAAACCAGCCTGGGGAACATAGTGAGACTTTGTCTCCACCAAAAATAAAAAACGAGGCAGGCATGGTGGCATGCACTTATAGTCCCAGCTACTCAGATGGCTGAGGTGGGAGGATCACCTGAGCTCAGGAAGTCGAGGCTGCAGTGAACCATGACTGTGCCACTGCACTCCAGCCTGGGTGACAGAGACCCTGATTCAAAAAAAAGACTCTGCTCTGGCAGTTCCTCTGGAAGTCTTTCCTGAACTCCCAGGATGGGTTAGATGACTTCACTAGCCTGTACAATGAATGTCCTGGCTCCCTCCACTACAGCTCATGTCACCAGAGCTTGAGACAGTTGTACTTCTGTCTGCCTCCTCCATCAAACTGTGAACTCCTCCAAGTTGGGGATTTACATCCTCAGGACCGGTCTGCCCTAAGCCGACAGTCTGCTGCATGCATCAGTAAGAACAAGAGGCTGGGTTCCTTCCCTGATTCTGTCTCAAACCTGCTGTGTGGCCTTGGACCAGTCACCTGCTCTTTGTGCCTCACTTTCTTCCCCCTGTTAATCAGAGTGGTTGAGCCAGAGCTGCTGGGGAGCTGAAGAGGCTCCTTGGGGAGGTGGTGAGCACACCGTCCACTGGAGGGATTCAAGCAGAGGCACGGTCCAGCTGAGTTTGAGTTCAACCGGCAGGCCTCTCTGTGACTCATCACAGCCGCGGGTGTCTGCTGAGCACCTACTCTGTGCAGCGACTCCACACCTGGCATCTCACCTCCTCTGACTCACCAAGGTGGGGGCTGTTAACTCCCGAGTGAGGCTCAAGGCCCCGTGGGAGGGAAGAGGTGGGGACCTGATGTGTGGCCAGCTTTCTCCTCCCACCCTCTCGCCCACACTATAGGAGAAAAGCTGTGATCGCCCCACTTTCCAGCTGCAAACTCAGGCTCAGGGAGAGTCAGCAGCTCAGGAAGAGGCAGGGCCAGAAACTGGACTCAGGCAATGGGGGTCCAGAGCCTTTGCTCAATCCCGACCACCAGCCTGCCCGCCTTATGAGGCCACAGATGATCTTCTAACCCAGATGGGGAAAGTGAGGCACAGAGAGCTTAACACACCGGCCAGAAGGGATACAGTGAGGCAAGGCTCGGGTGGGGCCAAAGCTGTGTCTGCTGGCCCCCGAGCC